TTTGGGCAATCGGAAAAGGTACTCGTGAGGTAGAATGGTTAATGGCCGGGGATCTAGTAACCACCGGCTACCATCGGCGTCGAGTTTCCAATCCCGGATATGTTTTATGATGCTCTCGATGTTCGCCGCCATGGCTTCGCTTTATGTTGCTGGCCGGTCAGTTAGTATTCTACAGCTAAATTTGTTAAAAGCTGGAAACATCTTCAGTTTTATATTAATTTTCTAATGGATTTCTGAAAGATGTATTTGTGGGGTTAGATTGTGGCAGGATGCAACAAATAGAGTTCATTTAATAGAAGAGCTTGATAGACGAACCGGACAGGTACATCTCTCATTTAAATATGTCGTGCTTAAGTTTCTTATGGGGCTATCCTGGATTGTCTTCGTAGTTGCATTTTCATATCTTCATGAAAATCGTCTTCGTGCATGGGTATAATCCTGTGGAAATGACAACACACACAATCTGCTGATCATGTACACAGATCAAGATTTGTTTTGTGAGGCAGAAACGAGTCATTTTTTATTTTTCTGGCATGCCCCGGTTAATTTGGGGGTATAAAGGTGATTGATTTGTATTATTTTCAGGGTATGAGCCTTTGACAATTGAATGATGCCATTGAATTTTATGCTGAGTTTGTAGATTGAAGGATTACCAAGTTGTGGATCCCTCGAGGCTTAAACATTACCATGTTAAACCAAGAGATGTCAAATGGGGTTGATACAAACAATTTTATTTCTTTTGTTGCTTGCGAGTTCCCTGTTTTGTTCTCTCTGGTTTATGTAATGGAAAACGATGCGATTTAAGGTTTTTCTCATTTTTATACCGATGATAGGATGAGTTTGGCAAGTATAACTTGCTGCCTTGCATCTTTGGCATCACGTCTTTATTATTATTATTATTACTACGTGCACTATAGTATGCAATTTAACGCTTTCTTAATGGTATAGCTTCAGTCAGAGACATTTGACAATGTAACTTTGCTGCACAGTCAATTTGATAAAGTGGTGCTTGCTTATCGAATTTCTTCTACCTTATCCTGTAGAATATCTGAGGCTTGGGTTAAGACATTGGTATTACTGTTTCAGGGGCATTCTGCTATATCTGTTGATGATACTTTGAAGATCATAAATTGTAGGTAAGTTGATTGTAGTAGTCTATAACTTTTCCTTCTCTATGCATTTTCTTTTTCTGTCTGAGATTTGGGTAGTGTGATCCACTTGGTTAACGTTTTGGCATGTATCTAAAAACTGATATCTTGCTTCCCAGAGAACAACAGAAGAAGCTAGTGGCTCTTCAGACGGAGCTGGAAAAAGCACGGACGGAAGGCTTCGTTTCAAATTATTTCTCAGAAAATAGTGGGACACATAAAAGAAAAAGCTTCTTGCTGTTGTAGGGATCTTTACAAGGTTTGGTCGTAAGACTAATAGAGACGCAATCCGTAAGGCATGGATGCCTGCTGGTACAGAATCATTTCCCTTGGTTAGTTTGTTCAATTTTTTATCTTGATGGATGTGGTTCAGAAGGTTTTACATTTGAGTTTTGAAACTATCCTTGACCTATTGGGTGGTTACATTTGAGGCTAAAATTTGTCATAACTTCAATACTATTTAAAGTTTTAAGTGCTAGTGGTGAACTCTATCATCGGAAGTATGTTGGCGTCACTTTCGATTTGAAATTGTAATTTTAAAACGAGAATTCTGGGGTAACCGTTATTGCTTGCTTATTGTGTGTCGCTTCATGTATGAGAAGTTATAGCTAGATTTTTCTCATTCGGTGTGTATTTATGCAGGTGCTGCTTCAAAGAAACTGGAGGAGAGAAGGGCATCATTATACGATTTGTAATAGGGAGAAGGTCTTTCTAATTGATGAACTATAAGTACTAGAAAGTTCCTTCAGTGCTTGGTTTAATGGGGTTAAAACATCATGCAGTGCAAACCGTGGAGACATTTCAGATAAGGACATCGACAATGAAAATAGGCAGACTAGTGACTTCATAATTCTTGTATGTTCAACTTCTGCTTGAACTTTTGGAGGTGAACTGTTAGGGAATTATTTATTAGCCTCAAGATCAGTGATGGCCAGACAGCTAATCAAAATCTCTGCTAAACCACTGTAGTTTGCAGCTTCCTTGACATACATTGCCTAATCATTATTCATCTTTCTACACCAAATACTTATTATCTGCATCTCTTTGTTCCCCACAGTCCTTTTCATTTTTGAATTTATATGCATGTTTATCTACGCTTTGATGTGCATGCTGATGAATTTTTCCAAGGAATACCATTTGAAGGAGCATAACAAGTTTGGGGCTCTGGTTATTATAAAAGACTTATGCAGTCATATACTAATCGTGATTACATGTCTGTGCTAATTTTGTGTTTGGGATGTCTAAGTTGATGGATGTTCAGTTAAATAAATGTGGTTCTTCCATTTGTTTCTAAGCAGAATGAATCTGGAGGCTCCTAAGGAGAGTTCAAAGAAGGCAAAATTATTTTTTGCTCATGCTGTGGAGAATTGGAATGCTGAGTTCTATGTTAAGGTCAATGATGATATCTACATAAACATTGGTACGTGACCCTGTCTTCAGTGGGTATGTCTTTACTCTCGAATTCTCTGCTGTAAGTGCTTATATGGTGGCTTTGGTTTGGTCTAAAACAAAAGGCCTGGAGAATTATTTAGCTGCATGTTCAAATAGGTTGATCATCTCAAATTTGGTCAATGTGATATGGAAGCGTATTGTCGAAATGCACTCTGCAACAAAAATGAGAACTTCCATTATTGCTTTGCAGCATTGATTAATTGCACATATGCAGTCTTTGTAAAAATTTGGCTTCTCCAGATGTGAACTGGCACTTATATTTGGCAAAGGAAAAACGATTTAGTCAATCAATTTTTTTTAATTCCTTTTGTATAAGAGGGAATGGTATACCCTGATTTTGGTTTTTTAGCATTTGACATTTTTGGCTAGGTTTAGCCATCTGAAGATCAAAAACCTTTTAAGTAATGTAAAGACCTGTTATAGACCACATACTCCCGAAAATTCATCTAGATAGAACGATTTATGCTCTGAGGCCATTTGAAATGCTACTTATCTTTCTTGGTAACAATTTAATTTGCAGATGCACTTGGAGCTGCACTTGCCAGTCATTTGGATAAGTCTCGTGTTTATATTGGGTGCATGAAGTCAGGGGAGGTTTTCTCTCAACCGTGCGTCCCTTCTTAGTCCTAAAACTGTAGGAACTTTTTTTATCCATATATGGAGAAAGTTTAACTAGAATTTGTATTCATTGCTGGTTTTGTGTTATGATGCTTGATATATACAGGTCCAGAAATGGTATGAACCAGAGTGGTGGAAATTTGGGGATGGGAAATCGTAAGTGTTCCCAAGCTCGAGCTACTTTTGGCTCTTTGGATTACTGTTTTCCAACTTCAGAATAAATGACTCTTTTGTCAACAGATATTTCCTGCATGCTTCTGGAGAAATATTTGCTATATCTCATCCCCTGGCACACTTTATCTTAATTAACAGGTTAGCACTTCAATTACTACCCATTTTTGGATCAATAACAAACGGGGGTTACATTTGTTTGATTGTCTTGTCTTTGGTTTCCTAGGTCCATCCTTCGTACGTATGCCATGATGATGTCAGTGCTGGATCCTGGTTCATTGCCTAGATGTTAAGCATGTTGATGAAGGGAGGTTTGTTGCTCATCCTGGTCGTCAGGTCTCTCTATTTCGCTCTGTGTGTTCGCGTGTGCATATATCAACAATTATGTGATAGTTGGACTGACAAGACATTAAGTTTCTATCTAATTGTCACTGATGGTAAAGAAGAATGCTTTATGAATAAAATGCAACTCATCTGGCATGTGATCTCAAGTTGAAGCATATTTATGCACATAAACCAAGTGAAAAGGAGAAGTGGATGTTTTCATGGGCATGAGCAATCTATGTTCTTGAAAATAATGTTACAGTATAGTCTTGGCTTAGTGGTTTTCTGGAAAAATTGGTAGCCATTTACCTCTAAATCCACCTTAAAGAGTAAAAGCCAAATCTAGTGGATGAGGCTCCCTGACAACAGCATTGTGGAGACTTGTATTCACAACCAGGACGACTGCTTTAGTGCTGGGGCGACTTCGGCATATTACTGTGGCCTTTACATGGAAAAGATAATAGTTCTTTATTAGACGAGGTTGAACTAACTATCTTTCTTCCATTGTCATTTCAGGGTCTGTTTGTGCGGCTTCCTAGATTTTGAGTTCTGTGGGATTATTGAGAGACCTTGAAGAGACACTCTGTTGATTCGCTTTCTGCAGCTTCTATTCCATCGAGTTTCATGGAGGACTCATAAGCATTCTTGTCAGTAGAAGTTGATGTTCACTGGCTTGAGTTACATTGCAACAGGTTTCTTGTTAATAGCAATTTACAAGCGTTTCATTATCCTGGAAAGGGCTTCAGATGCTGACGATGTATAATACAGTAAAAATGTAGATTGTACCTTCATAGAGATTTAGTATAATTTTATTACACTGAGCTCCATGGTGTCTCATAGAGATTTAGTATAATTTTAGTCATGTTAAATGTTGAATGTTGAGGCGTACTGTGTGGTTCCTTTGTCCGTCAATAGGAAAAAACACGCCAGTGAGAGCTATACACACACACACACACACACACACACACACACATATATATATGAATATTGAATTCGTATCTTTTTTATGTTGCTTGACCTGCTATATTTGTTTTTTCAAGATTCAAATATGTTGTTCTGCAATTTTTTGTAAATAGATTAACTTGCACTACGTAGTTAAAGCAAGTATCTGCAAGGCGCGTTTGATAAAATTTAAATTTGAAAACTAAAATATGAAATTTGAATTTATTAAGTACCAAATTTCATATATTTGAGTGTATATCACGTTAGGTTATAAGCGAATAATTTATTACTTATTTTTGGAATCAAATATCATCTAACTGAATAATTTATCACTTATTTTCGGAATCAAATTTTACTTAAGAAATTCAATGTCATTTAATCAAGTTTTCAAATAGGGCCTAAAATGCAGTTTTAGGCAATACTGCAGTGCTCTAAAGATGTCTCTCAACCGTACAAGCAGCTTTAAGATTATTTGAAGAGGGCAAGTTATCAAGATTTTGAGAGTATCAAAACACGTAAGTTTTGAGGTTCGAGCTTCAGTCATCCTTGCAATTGAGAAACAAGGTTACCATAAATATCTCATTGTTGGTGAATCGTGCTATAGGCAGGAATCTTGTGAATTCCAGCATCCGTCATTAGTTTCCTCAGGGCAGCAGCGTTATCCCAGCTCTCTGCCCCAGCATAAATGCTTGACAATTGCACATACCTCCCACAATGTTGGGGCTGCAACTTACAAAGGCGCAGTCCCACTTCATTTGCCAAATCTGTGGCTCCATGTATTCTACAAGCACCAAGAGAGCTCCCAAAACAGATGCATCAGCCTCAAAAGGCATCCATTCCATAAATTCATATGCTTCCCTGAGCAATCCAGCTCTTCCCAGGAGATCAACCACACAACCATAGTGCTCCATCCTGGGAACAATGCCAAACTGTCTTTGCATTGAATGGAAGAACTCCAAACCCAAGTCCACAAGCTTGGCGCGAGCACATGCGGATAATACACCAACAAAAGTAACTTCATTTGGGCAAAATCCTCCAGTCCTCATCCTGATAAACATATCTAAGGCATCCTTCTCCCTACCATTCAAAGCAAGTGAAGAAATCATAGCATTCCAAGTGCAAACCTCCCTAACCATCATCCTGCCAAATAATTTATTAGCATAATTAAAACATCCCATTTTTCCATAGAATGCGATCAATGCTGTTCCCATGAAAACACTCAATTTATTCTCATTCTTGACCATATATCCATGTATTTGTTTCCCATGATACAAAGCTCTACCGCCCTCAAAATTTGCACAGCAAGATAGAACAGTAACAAAGGTAGCTTCATTAGGCTTCAAAACCCCAACACTGACGTCCTCATCCACCATCATTTTCCCAAAAATCCCCATTGCCTCCCCAAATCGCCCATTCCTAGCGTAGCCACTGATTACGCTCGTCCAGGAAAAAACATCTCTTCTAGACATTCCCGAAAACATCAAAACCGCCGAATCCATGTTCCCACACTTCCCAAAAGCATCAAGCATGGCATTACATGAAACAACGCACGGTTGGAGAATTTCATCAAACACCTTACGTGCTCCATCAAGATCACCCAAATGTGCACACAGAGAAATGAAAGAAGTTTGCACAAAAGGGTCATCTGAGACCCCTCTTTGAGAGTTTGAGCTCGGAGGGGTCGCCCCACGAGGGAAGCATATGGAGGCAAGAGGGACGCGGCCGCTTTGATGAGTGAAGGGAAAGTGAGATTATTGGGCGGGGCAGTGTGAGCGAGCATGTGGCGGAAGAGAATGAGTGTTGTTTGTGGTTGGGAAAGGCTGAGATAGGCTCTGATGAGGCAGTTGTAAAGAAGTGTGTTGGTCCATCCAGAAGTGATGAGGAGGTTACCATTGGTAGTTAAAAGGGAATGAATTTGTTTGATCTTTTCCGAGTTTTTGATGAAACGTTGTAGAGCATTGAGGAGGAACTGCGGGCGTGTATCTTGGCCTGAGGCTTTGCATAAACAAATTATCCAATTGAGAAAACTGTTTGAACCAATGAGATTATTTTACCTCCTGCTAAAGGTATAATCAAATCTGTGACTCCTACAAATTCTATCACAGATTGGGATTTAGCCAAAGTTTCTTTCTCTTTCTTTGGTTTTTAAGAATTTTTTCAGAAGGGTAGTCTTGGGAGGGAGAAGTAGGAAGGAGCGGCCCCGATGGGCAGGCAGGCTTTTAAACATGGGCTATATTCAATTCTCCAGTTTTATGCTCGTACTCAGATTATTTGTTAACCTAATGCAGACTTCATCTGCAATCTTTGCCTGTTCACAAAATTACAAATGAATCCTAGTTTCCTGGCCAAAACTATTTGCGTCTGTTCAGAGACTGTGTCCTAGGTTCGTTTACTGGTAATAGCTAAATCCAAAGTCCCATGCCGCCCCACCCGTAAAATGAGTAAGGGTTCTATTTTTTTTTAACAATTTTATCTCCAACTCTCTGTCCTCATTCGGTGGTTAAATAAAGGAAGAGCAGCAGTAGAATGTTGAAATTTTTAGCTGTAGTTGAAGGGCCGGAAATGTTCAAATTTGGGTGCCGAAAATGTTCTTGAATTCACCTAGTTCACACCTGCAGCAGACCGCGGATTTTAATTACGCAAACCAAAACCAGAGAAAATAAGGGGAGCCAAAAAAAAAAAGAAGAAGAAAAAGGAAGAATCAACTCCGGTTTCCTAATTTTTTGTGCTGTTCTACCCTTGCGATGGCTAGCGGACAAAGCTGGGACTCCGTTCTTGCAGTGCGGACTGTGGAAAGGGATATGGTCTGCCGTCTGGCTTCTTAACAAAAAGTATCTCTGGGTTCCTTCGTGGGACTTGGTCAAAGTACATATGGCTTCAAGCATCATGATTCATGACCATTAACAATACTCTGCATCCTAAGGAACATTTAACAAGTCAATGCCAGAGGGAGCCTGCAGTTAGTTAATATGATAATAATGGAGATCCCTTCACCTGTTGAGCAATAAATAATCTCATATAGTAAATTGTTTCAATGTTCAAGGGCATCATGGGTCAATATCAGAATGGTAAGCTAAACTGCTTCAGATTTCAACAAATTTGGGACAGAGAATATAAGGCTATTTTGTATCAATCTTCTAATCTGGATGGAGATCATTTGCAGACAAGAATTTTTTTAGTTTCTGCTGTATTTGTTGGTCAATATTTAAATTAATAAATGAGAGGAGTACCTCCATCAATATTTGTTATTTTAAATGTCTGCGGGCACATCAATTTCATTGTCCTTGTTTTCATTTTCTTTTTTTTTTTTAATTGTTGTTGTATTTGTTGGCTTTTGAAGCTTCCCAACGGCCGTTAATTCTGTTAAAGTGGGTCAATCATGGTCCCATGTCGCAGGTTCATATCTCAAGCGCCAACAGCTGATGTATTGCTGAAGTCGCGCATCCGCCTTTCCGGACACTGTTTCTAGTTTAGATTTTAGTACCACCGACTAAGGATCGGCTGCATAACAAAGGGTGCGAGGGATTTGGACTTTCTTCTTTATCTGACTCACATTCCTCCAGCAGCCCCATTTATTAAATTCCTGTCCTCGATAAGACAAGGTCAGTACCAAAACGTGGACTTAATCCCTCTCTAAGATAGGCATCTTTGGTTGAGAGGTCTCTACTGGCTTTGAGGTTGTCTTCTCCTTCTGACAAATACCAACCGTCTTTCATAATCGTCTGCTTTGAAATTGCCGTTAGCCTGTTAGTTGAGTGAAATTCTGGATTGTTTGGTCTCACTTTGAACAGTTTTTTGTTGGTCCTTGAAACTTATGCTATTCCTAGCTTAACTGACTCTTTGTTTGGGCTTAAAGTAGACCTTAGTATGAGCCTATTCTCATCTCCCATTAGCCAGATCACCAAGACATACTGGCCAGTTTCATCCTTTCACAAGAACTGGAAGCCTTTTGAGGTAGACTAGGAAAAAAATTTTTGCACAGGGGGGTTGTAAATGGGATGGAGTTTTGGTTGTTGAGATTTAGGTAACTATTCACATGAAGTTGGTTTTGTCACAAGAAAAGTGTCCGGAGGAAGCTTAGATTCTCAACTGCTTCAGTAATTGCAGAGCTTTTTGACTGCTAAGGTCTTCTTCAGACCGGATCAACCTCATTATAAGGCTCAAGCAGTGGGATATAAGAGCCTTAGGGTGTGTCTAGGAGAAAGAGAAATTGACGATTTTGTTCTTGATATTCAAGTCCATTTTGCTTTTTTGAAATGGACCATTCTGCAGCAGGTGATGATAATAGAGCAACAGTTGAAGTTACCAAGTATAAGAATGGCATCCAACAGGTTTTGCTTCAAAATCCTCGAGGGGCTTCTGCAAGGGTTAGATCTTAACGTTCACGTGTGAACCTAAGATAAGATTCTTCCTTTATATTCAGGTTTCAATTAATCGTTTTAGTTTGCCTAGTCCAGGTTAGCCTGCATGGAGGGCAGGTTCTTTCATGGAAACCGACAGGGGTGAAGAATTATTATTCATTAGTAGTAAGGTATAGTTTGTCAAGAAGTAATTAAGAAAGACAAACAGAAAAAAATGGAGCAAGAAGCTACACAGAATTTATATTTTTTCCAAGTCGTATATATTCTTTCTTCTATTCTATTTCAAGCTGAAATCTGCCTCTATTATGGGTTTAATGTCCTTTCAGGCAAATTTTAAGCCACCAGCAGCTGTAAGGGGTGGAATACCTATTTGTTTCCCTCAGGTACTCTTATCTATCTTGTAATTTGATGTCATGGCTCTCAGGACAATCGAGTGATATTCAATTCTTCTTGAGTTTTGACTGGTGCTGTGATGCATACATGTAAGTTCGGAAACCGTGGTTCCCTGGAGCAGCATGGATTTGCCAGGAACAGAATGTGGCTCATTGATGAAAACCCTCCACCTCTACATTCCAGTGATTCCAATGGCAAGGCATACATTGACTTGCTACTTAAACCATCTGAAGAAGACCTAAGGATCTGGCCACACAGGTAGAGGCTCTTTGTGCTTGGAAATGCCTTGAAAATGAAATATCCTACTACAGCATATATAGTTGGAATTCTTCATCAGACCAGATCTCTTTAGGTTATGCACGTTAGAGTTCTTTAGAATCTGCATAGCAATTAAAGTTGCAGACTTTGTACATTTCAAAGAGCAGTTATTCCTTGACTGTCATGCATGTTAGTAATTTGAGGTGTCCTTTTCCAGTTTTGAATTCCGTCTTAGGGTGGCTCTGGACTTTGATGGGCATCTCATCTTCACATCACGTGTGAGAAATATCAATTCGAAGCCATTCAGCTTCTCAATTGCTTATCGCACCTATTTTTCTATCTCCGATATCAGGTAAGCTCTGATGCAATGTTTTCAAAATCAGTATAGTCTTCATGCGCAAATGGAAGTTTGGAAGAAATTCTTCTGCATACAGTTCTTCAAAGCCAAGATTTTCTGTCAGTCTAGAGACTACAGTACAAAATTTTGGAAACAACAAATTGCAGGTGTTTTATGACTCAGACCAAGATCCAAATTTGGCCATAGTTTTCTAATTTAACATAGAGCTGACAAGTCTTGTCTTCTATAGATTAAATTGCTACGTTTCAATTGGATTTCATTGAAGTTGATCTAGTATGTAATTGAAATTGCATGAAGTTCCAGCTGAGATTTAATTGTGATAGCAGTGAAGTGAGGGTGGAGGGCTTGGAGACGCTGGACTATCTTGACAACTTGTGCCAAAGAGAGCGTTTCACTGAGCAAGGAGATGCCTTAACATTTGAATCCGAGGTAACCAAATTCTAACCTGTAAAAGTTTCCAGCTGCAGGTTGTCAATATGCTTGACTAAATACAGCCCTTATTGTATGAACACTATTCCTTGTAGTATATGGGCTTACCATTCTTCAATTGGCAATTTTCTGAAATAAGCCAACTGATAACAATGAGTTCTCAGAAGAACTATTGGTGTTTTGGGAACTGCACTTGTCAAGAAAAATCCTGTTACTATAGCTCGAAGCCAAGTGGAGCTCCATGTTTGGGCAGGGGGGAGTGACCACCTGAGTGAATAGAGCTGGGAAAGAACTTGTCAAACAAACACTTCAAGATCCTAATAACACGTATACTTGATCATTTGAAGATTAGATTCAAAAAAGAAGAAGAAGAAAATCAAAATTAGATAATTTCAAGGTATATAAAACTTCTGCGAAGGATGGGATTCTATTTTCAGCAGGGCTGCATGCCTTTGGTATCAAATTTGCTGCAAATATCGTTTTGAGGTTATCTCGTGTGCAGGTTGATAGAGTATATCTCAGTTCTTCGGATGTTATAGCAGTCTTCGATCACCAGAAAAAGCGGACCTTCCTCATAAGGAAGGAAGGGCTACCTGACGTAGGTGAGCACCACTTCCCCTCGTGATTTATATCTGAGAAGCAGCATGTGGGATCATTGCATAAGAATCACAAATTGGGATTTTCATTCAATACGAGTTCTTGAAATTCCATGTGTATGGTAGATGTGCTTTTATCTCTTAGGCATTTAAAGGAACCTTTGCTTCCTCATCCTTCTCTTGATACACACCCCCAAAGAACTACATGGCAGAAGCAGCCACGAGCATCTTAGGGATAATAGAATTTGGAAACACCTGCTAAAGAAAGTATGGTTGGTCTTGAGCTTATGTCCATGCTCGTCGATGATGCGTCGTCGTCGCTGTTCATTGTCGTGTCAATTCTAAATTCTGGGAGGAGTCGTCTACAATATCTGTTGAGGTCCTGGTTTAGAGTAGGGCCAATTGGCATTAATCTGTTGCATTCTCCAATGATCACAGTTGTTTGGAATCCATGGGAGAAGAAATCAAAAGCCATAGTGGATCTTGGGGACGAGGAGTACAAACAGATGCTTTGCGTGGATGGGGCTGCAATTGAGAAACCAGTCACTCTGAAGCCAGGCGAGGAATGGACAGGCCGACTGGACCTGTCTGTTGTGGCATCAATTTAACAGATTGGAGCCATTTGCGATCTTCTCAATTTTGTCCTGGAAAAACTGAAGTGATAGGAGGACACTGATTAGTAACTGACTTGTGGTTTCTCAGCTGGTGGCAACTTGTACTTGTTACCTCTGAAGTCATGATCAATAGTAATTTCATGATTCATGACTTTGAGAACATTGTCAGGTAGATATGACTGGTGAGTTTGTTAAATAACCCGGAATATGACGGGGGAAATTTATTTCCCCCTAAGATGTATGTGGATTGATCCAATCCAAGAAATTGACTCCGTGAAATGGTCTGTGAAGATGAAAGGCTCGGTTGTAGGCTTGATCTTAAAGATTTTATATCTCGTAGTTGCTTGTTTTCTGTATAATAATTTGTTTGGTAAATTGAAGAGATTTTCTTGAAAGCCAAAAAAGTGGCCTCTGGAAGAATGCGAAAACTGAATCGACAAAAAATGATTAGGTGGAACCGTGGAAGCTACTCTATATATCAGAGCCAGGTTTCGATCCTGGGACCTGTGGGTTATGAGCCCACCACGCTTCCGCTGCGCCACTCTGATTGTTGGTGAAAAATTCTTCTTTTTAATATATATTGAGCTTTGCTGGTGTGATGGAATTTTTTCCCTTCTCTAAACCTAAATGAGTATATATTTTTGTTATTTTAACCTAAATAGTATTTGGTTTCGAATTTTTTTTTTGTAGCATAATATAGCAATCAAACGCTGCAAAATAGTAGGTCGAATTTGTAAAGTAATTAGATGGTATATATATATATATTTTTTTTTTTGCTGAAAAAGACCATCAATGGTGAATCTACAATGGGGGCATAATTCCACTAATACCTAAAAATTTTGAGAAACTGTCAAAATTGTTATAAAAATCATTGGTTTTTGGCATGTTACAAAAGTCAAAATCAAAGGCCTTTTACATTATTAAAAAACTTACTTGGATTTTTCAACAAAAGGAAAACTACATTATTATCTAATAATGTATCGAACAAGAGTAATTGCGTTGCTTAGGTTAAATAATAAAGTTAGATGTGGCCATTTGCAATAAAACCGAGGTGACTCTTTTCTTTAAAAAAAATAAAAATAAAACAAAATTTTACTTCCTTGTGCATTATAAAACCGCAAGTCGGTTAGCAACGATACAAAAGTTTTTCTTTTGGAAGAAAATTATTATGTTGTTAATAAATTAAAGTATGCTATTTTTGCGTTGTATTATAAACGAAACAGATTGGATAGTTCTTTTATGTGAACATTATCATTATGTACTACATTTCGAAGCCAAGAAAAAAATTACAATTTGTTTTTGCCCTCTCTACTGGAAATTATTTTTGGTTCCGTCACGTGGGATATGTACCTTTTTATTTTATTAATTATATATGCATGCCCGCTAATACTCAAAGCCAGGTCTCTGTGCTAATTTATTTAGAGTAAAATTAAGTTGAAGTCAGATGATTTATGCCCAAAGCATTTTAGTAAATCCGTGAAAAATGTATCTTCGCTCTAATAATTAACACCAGAAAAATATAACCAGAATTGATACAAATGTCAATTAGCCATGATTTCAAAAAAAGTTTTTGTCAACCATGGACTCAACTTTGTTAGCTTCTTTTTCTCTCTCTTCTCTCTCTTTTTTTTTTTTTTTTTTTTGGGTTTTATCATCATTAGGTACTCATACCAACCAACACTGACGATAATAATAGGGATTTGAGGC